TCCCGGCTCTGATCTCTCAGTGCGGGCTTCCCTCACAAACCTCGCTACTTTGAGCAGAAGCAACCTTGTTTTGGCAGCTATCTTGCCCTTACTCATGCTTGGGATAACAGTGGACTCCCGATTTGTATGCCGACTCATTTCCTACCCTTCGGGGAGGCTGGCAGGAGGCCCAGCGCTGGGCCCTGCCAATCCCCAGGCAAGCTATCAATGGCAACTGCCAGCTAGTCGTGGGAGAGTCATTTCATTCCCTCCCTTTTCCTCTAAGTTCTTCCAGCAGGAGGGCTCTCAGAGTTCCTGCTGGGTGAGTAGGTGTCCCCTGGGGCCTCGAGGCTGGCTGGGCACCTTGGACCTCCCTATCCAAGCCTCCTGGAGCTTCCACTGAGGGTCAGCATAAGGGTATGGAGACAGTTTTCTGGCCTTAAGTGAATCAAAGTCCCTTCTCCGGATCTCAGTTTTTACTTATCTCCCAAATGGGGGCTTGGGGGAGCTGGCCCTCCAGGTCTGCGCTCTGTTTCCTGGGCTCTTCTTTAATGAGGCTGCCCATGTCCATGTGCAATTCTCCCAGCCTCACTCTTCTTGGGGACAGGGCCCAATTTGGGCCTCCTATCAGGGTGGGAAATGAGTCAGCTGGGAAATTAGAGACTGTTGTTAATCCAAGCATGAGTAAGGGTGAAATTGATGCCAAAAGTTTCTGCTTGAGGCAGCGTGGGGATTTGTGAGAGAAATCCTGAGCTGAAAGCTGGAGGAGGCAGGGGGGTCTCTGACACAGGTTATCTCCTGCTGATCAGGGGTTTCCTGGTGGCAGGTGACAGAAATCCAATTCAAGCCAGCTTGAAAAGAGATGCATTTGTTGGCCCACAGAACTACGAAGAATAGACAAGATTTAAATACCATCTAACAACCACGCTCCCCTTCTTCCTTAACAACAGAACGCCTCTATTGTTAGGGGATGGTGAGGCTTGTTTCACAGCTTCCCCTGCACCTGGGAATGGCCAATGAGCTAGAAATAGAAATCTTTGAGTGGGGCTTTTAGGATGCTCTTTAAAGAGCTGACCCCTGCCTCTTCTCTCATCTTTCTGCCTGGAAGGCAGGCTTGAGGACTGGTGTAGGGGCAGCCATTTTGAGACTAAGAGAATCATCTGAGGCTAAGAGAAGCCCAAAGAACTTAGCCCTGACACTGAAGCAACATGAGCAAGTGCCTGTTTCTGGAATTCTCTTCAAGTGAAAAGCCACTATGGGAGGCGGAGGCTGCAGTGAGCTGAGATTGCACTACTTCACACCAGCCTGGGCGACAGAGCAAGACTCCATCTTAAAAAAAAAAGGAAGAAGAGACGGGATCTTTTTATGTTGCCTAGACTAATCTAGAACTCCTGGGCCCAAGTGATCCTCCCAACTTGGCTTCCCAGAGTGCTGGGATTATAGGCATGAACCTCCACACCTGGCCAGGTATACCATTTTTGTTGTTTATACTGTATTTTTAGGATCCCTTTCTGTGTTTACACAGATAGCCACCATTATGTTCCCATTGTCTGCAGTACTCAGTACGGTAACATGCTGCAGAGGTGTGGAGCCCAGGAGCGCTCAGCTCTACCCTTCAGCCCAGGTGTGTGTTTGGCGGGACCATCTGGAGGAAGCCGTGGAGACATGAGCTGAAGGCAGAGGGTGAGTCCGAGGTGGGATCTTGGGGCAGGTGTGAGAAGTTGGGCGAAAACGGGTGAAATCTGAATAAATGTCACCATATTCATATAATTACTGCATTAATAACCTTAGATAATGGTTCATATTATCAGTTAATAGGATTGCACCCACGTTAACTTCCTTTTTTTTTTTTTTTTTTTTTAATATAAAGTCACCCTCTGTCACTTAGGCTGGAGTGCAGTCTGTGATTGATCATGGCTCACTGCTTCCTGGAACTCGGGCTCAGGCAATCTTCCCACCTCAGCCGCCTGACTAGCTGGGACTATAGGCACACGCCACCATGCCTGGCTAATTTCTTTTACTTTTCTCTAGAGACAGGGTCTACCTATGTTGCCCAGGCTGGTCTCAAACTCCTGGCCTCAGGTGAACCTGAACCTCCTGCCTCCACCTCCCAAATTGCTGGGATCACAGGCATGAGCCACCACACCTGGCCTAAATTTCTTTTGACAAATGTGCCATGGTAATGCAAAATGTCATTACTTGGGGCAGCTGGATGGAAGATGTATATGCAAAATCTTTTCAACAGTAAAAGTTTATTTTACAACATGAAGGTGGTTATCATTCCATGAATATAAAGTTCAATGGTAGGCTCATGGGGTCTTCAGAAGTCAGAACACTGGTTTCAGGGCTGGGGGCACACGGAGGTGCTAGGCATGGTTGGCTTTGTGATCTGGGGGCTGATGTGTTCCATCTCTGAATGATTTTTGAGCTGTGCATTTGCCGAGGATGGAAGTCATATCTCAATAAATGCTCAAAAGTTCACCAAAAAGTAAAATAAGGATGGGAAGCTTGTTTGGGACCTCGGGTGCTTATCCAGCCATGAGCCCTGGCCCAGATGCTTCTAGAAGCCTGGAAGGAACCGAGAACATTCCAAGTAGAGGTGGCAGAGCCAAGGCCCTGAGGTGGGAGCGGGCTGCTGCTTGTCTCTTGCTGTGAATGGGGTGTCCTGGTGGTAATCAGTGTAGTGCGCATTGCAGCGCCGGCAAGTTCATGTCCACATTGTGGCTCAGTGCAGCGAAAGCCAATCTCAGCCCCTCCGCAGGGTGGTCAGCCTGCCAGCGGGTAGCCAGCTGGTCCTCCTGGGAAATGGTGCCATCCCAAGGACTGGGTGCGAGTCTCTCATCAGCAGTGATGTCAGCCTGGTGAGCCTTGGTAAGGGCAGGTGCAGGATGCTGAGCCTCTTCCGTCCCCAAACCTGTCTCAAGGCCACTTCTTCCGTGGGCCCATCCAGCAAACGAGGTGGCCGGGAAAGAAGCCGGCTCCATCCACAGGGTGTGCTGTTTTGCTCAGCTCCGGACCAAGAGCATCCTCCATAGTAATTCTCTTTGGTGGGAGTACTGGGAAAGCCTGCATGGCAGCTGGAAGGCACCTGGTGGTGGGGAAGCTGCAGCAGTGACTGCAAGGCTTTTAGCCTTGTCCAGCTTCTGTGACGGTGACAGAGCTCTCCATTGCCAGGGTCCCCTGCACGGACATGCTGACTACAGCTGGGAGCTCAACATACCCCTAGTGCCCCTCTCTTCCCAGGGCTGAGGTCTAGGCCAGGTCCCTCTTGGCCTGGGAATTGTGCCCTGAAAGGAGGACATGGTCCCACAGGTTGGGACAGAGGCCCTGGGGCATGCTGCTGGCTGACTGGGGCTGGGGGGATGCCATGCTCATCTCTCTCTCATGGCCTTGATGGGACAGGCCTCCCCACTGAATGGAATTTTCCAAGGTGTCTGGGGCTGCGGGTTTAGGGTTAGAGGTTAAGGTTAGGGTTACAGTTGGGAGCTGGCGGGGTGCCCCTCTGGCTCCTTCCAGACATGCCAGTCACTGGCCACTGAAGGGGCCAAGTACAGGTGCTGATGTTGCAGTGGGGGTATCTCCTGACCTTCCTCTTAGTCCTGATGGGCTTGGGCAGGGCCCGGTGTCGGGGTCCCCATGGGCTTCCTGGGCTAGGCCTGTCCCATGGTCCCGGGCTGTCCAGGACACATTCAGAAGAGACACTGACAGCAGCTCTGTTGGAAATCATAATGGGGGAAACAAGGGCCCCCACATCCAGGTCCGTCAGGAGCCAGGGCATGGAATTCCATTCCAGGAATTGCCAGGAATGGTGAGGTCCTCCCTGAGCCAGGGCTGGGCTGGGCACACCCTGAGTGCCCCCAAGGTTGGTGTTTTCACGGACAGCCCCACCAGGACAGGGTGTGAAAGGATGAGGCACCGATGGTGGGGGAGCTGACCAAATGGGCCACTGGAACCGGGCTGCTGGGCCCAGAGGGGGCTGCCTAGTCCCCTAGCAGAGGGTCTTTCTGCCAGGTAAAGCCAGCACGGGCCTGGGTGCTGAGGACTCTTGCTCGGGTTTGGCTGAAAGGAAAAGAGACATGGTCGGCGTCTCCAGTGAGTCCATGCAGGCCTTTCTGGGCCAGGCCCCACCTGCCTGCGTCTCTGCAGTCCTCGGGGGCTCTGTGTGGCCCTTGTGGTCTGACACTGAGGACACGCCTGTAGTCTGCTGATCCTGGAGGGAGGGGAGTGTGCCACCAGGGGTGCGAAGGCCATCGGGGCATGGCAGGTGGCTTCTGGGACTGCCCCCCAGGGTTCAGGCTGGTTGGGGGTCTCCTGTCACACACCCTCTTTCCAGAGCCGTTGGGCCTGGGCTAGAGCCTCCAGGCAGAACTCAGTGGGAGGTCCTTGGCTGTCACCCAGCCCCCTTGCCACCTCCCATGGGGAAATGTTTCCAAAGTGGGTGATTGGGCCTGGACCTGGGTCACCCTCTGCTCTCCTGGACTGCCCAGTCCATGCCAGCACTGACCATTCCCACATCTGGCTGAACTCTCGGCTTTGGCTCTGGGCTTGGGGTCCCACCTGCGTCCTGTCCCTGAATGCTCTGGGGGTCAGGAACACCGATTCCCTTGTTTCCCTGGCTCGAGGCTTGTGGTCCTGGCACCCTTGGAGGGGTGTGCAGGAGTGAGGGGCCTCTGCTGCTCTCTGAGGCTGTCAGTGCTCGCAGGGAGGGGTGGGGGCTCCCACACATGGGTCTGGCTCCTCCAGTGCCCTTGAGGGCCCCATGAGGGGGACAATAGGCCACCATGGAAAGTGGGAGGGGGCTTGTTGGAGGGTCTTGCCCACATGCCCCTCCTGCGTGCACAGCACGTCCCGTCCGCATGCATTGAGCGCCTGCCCTGAGGACCGGTGGGCCTGCTGTACCTTTTTACAGTCCAGGAGGAAGAGGAGGAAGAAAGGCTGAAGAGGGAGGCCTAGGTAGAAGGGTTGGGGGTCCTGGGCATTCCCTCACTATTGACCTCCCCAGAGGGTGACTCAGGAGGGGACCTGGCACTGGAGCCTACCTGGGTATGGCAGGTCCTCATTGCTTCTTTGTGATTTTCTTCCTAGAGGCCCGAAGGTGTTTGAGGATAGCATTGTCATCTAGGGCCCCGGTATGGAAGAAGAGGTCCTGAAAACGTGCCCACAGGCCAGACTTTGACATTCTTAGGAGGTGCTCTAGGGACAGGGTGGGCATCAGGCCAGGAGAGTTCCCTGGGAGGGGTCAGAGCCCATACCCCATGGCCACTTCAGTCTCCCACTGGGCGGTGCTGATCCTTTTGTGGCCACCCCAGGGGTCCAGATGTGCACAGGAGGCTGTGGCTGGGGGGCGGCCTGGGCAGGGCAGTGCTCACCACACCCCCCACTTTCATCTGGGCCACGTGGGGGATGGGCTCGGTGTCACTGTGCCCTCCCAGCCCACCCGGCCAGACCTCCCTCTGGGCCAGAACAGAGGATCATGAGGACAGTGTGAGGGAGCTCCCTTGGGTCAATTGGGGTCTGACCCCAGGGCTCCCCAGGTCATAGGTGGACTTACTCCTCTGATGTCTTGGGCGCAGGGCAAGCCCAAGAGAGATGTGTGGGGACAGCAGGTGTGGGAAGACCTGGCCCTTGCAGGCTGAGGCTGGGGCCTTAAGCTGGGCCCATTGAGGCTTCAGTCCCCAGAGTCAGTGCCCTCCCCATGAGGGTGGCCTGACCCCTCCGGGAGGCTGGGTCAGACAAGGTCTTGCAGTTCCTCATAGGGGGCACTCATTTCAATGGGGACGTGGCTTCTGGAGAGAGGGGCTTGCCCATGGCTTGAGGCTTCCCTGAGCCCTCCCAGGTGAGATCCTGGCCCAGTCTGCCCATGAGGCTGGCCCTCAGCCCTGGCCTCTGCATTGGGATGTTCCCTCTGGGGCAGAGGGTCTTGCTGTGTGTCCTGTGGGGACCTGCATGTGCCTCCTGTGGGCTGGGGGTGTGCCAGACCCCCGAGCTGGTGAAGCAGGACACTGCAGGGCAAGGAGGGTCCTTGAGACTCCCTGTGCCTCCTTACCTCATTACTGAGCATCCGGAGAAGCCAGCCTAATGAGGAGCCCTGTGTGCCTAGTCCTTCTTTGTCCTGATGGGAGGAACAGAGGTGCTCAGGGCCCCCTGGGCTGCTCTAGAAACCTCCCTCTTCCAGGGCCCACTGAAGACCCCTCCCCAAGTGCAGAACACTGGGCGGTGTCCAGGGCTCCCCACGACACGGTCTCTTTCCCGCACTCCTGGGAGACACACTGCCCTTAGCCCTGCTCTGCGGGAGCTGGGCCCCAGTCCCTGTGCCTCTGTCTCCTCCAGGGCTGGAAAAAACCCCCAACTGCCAGCCCACGGAGAACCCCACGTCCCAGGTCAGGCCCTGGCTGTGACTCAGCCTGTCACCAGCCCCTGGAGGGGCAGCAGTCCCCCTGCTCCTCCAGCTCCACGTGATGCAGGGCCTCTGGGGAAGAGCTGAGAGGACTATAAACTCACCAGATGCCACATGGTCTTGGGTTGTGACGTGGGTACCACACGCTCCTGATGGTCTTGGAGCCCCTGGACTGCCCCACCATTTGGGCTGTGGAATCCTGAAAAGCCCCCAGCCCATCATGAAATAAGATCCCTCTCCCAAGATGTGGAGCCGTCAGCTGGAAGAGCTGGGCAGCTGCAGAGGCCCCCAAGCCTTGAGGCCTCCCACCCTCCCATCTGCTGACTCCACCATGTGGCCTTGGCCCTGGAAAGGAAGGGTAGGACCATCCCCTGGAGCCTGGCTGGAGGTGCTCCTGGGGGCCTCCTGGGCCAGGGTGCTGGGACGGCAAGACTGACTTTGAGGCCACGGCAGACAGCGGCCAGAACAGATTGGGTGCTGGGCTTTGTGGTCATCTCCTGGAAGTGGCATCGGGCCAGGGGACCCAGGATGGGGAGATGCTGCCATCTGGGCTTGGTCCAGCCATTCGTGGGCACCAAGGGTAGCTGGAGCCTGGGCAGCTGAAGGGCAGGAAGACTCTCAGGCAGGGGAGAGTCTGCTCCACAGAATCAGAGCTGGAGGGCCTGGCTCCAGGACACAGAGGGCGGTCACGGGGAGGATGAGATGCCCTCTGCTGATGGGGATGACAGGCTTCTGATTTGGGCTCTGGGGTTCAGCCCCGAGCTCCTGTGGGACCCTCAGCAGAGACACCCTAAAGGCTCCCAACAAGCTGGTGACACAGGAAGGTGCCTTCACTGAAAGTTGAGATCACCTCGCCAGGGTGGCCATCCCCAGGTTTCGTAGCAAGAGGCCCCAGGGGCAGTTGTCCACCTACCCTGTGGAGAGTGCCTCTCACTGCTCAGCAGCTGTGCCAGTGCCAGAATATATTCTCCTCAGGCAGATAAAGCAGGAACAAGGCGGCCACATGGCTCAGGTCTCTGCAGTAGCCCACCTCCTGCAAGAGCCAGAGTCACCATGGAAGGACATCACCGTGGAAGGACTCACCTGGGTGTTGAGGTCACCTTGGAGGACTCATGTCATTGGAGAGGGCAGAGATGACTGGGGAGGCTTCCTCTGAACAAGAGGCTTCCTCAGGATGCAAATTCATTTCATGACAAGAGCCGTGTCCATCGGGCACTTCAGCAACTTGTCAGAATGTCTCCTGAGAGTGACATCCTTCGTGCGACACCGCCAAGCTCCTGGGCTTTGGGGCAGCCCCAGGAGGAGGGTGTCATTTCTTGTTCCAAGAAGTGGTAGTCAGGCCCAGGTGACACCGGGAGTCGGGGCGCTGACTCCTTTTTGTCTCAGTTGGAGACCCCTTGAGACCACTGCCCTTGCTTGGAGGTTTATGCCAGCGGTGAGCTAGAGTCATGCCCTCCATGTCCTGGTGGGTCACAAATACTGACTTTGAAAGAAGCAATGACACCCCCAATAGACACTCATGCTGGTGAATATGGGAATATGACCCGTGAATATGGCCTCGAAAATGGGAATATGGTCACTGCCTGGGAATACTTACCAGGTCATACTCGGAATAGTCTAGCAGGACATGGAATAGTTCCCGCTGCCTAGGAAACCAAGAAAGGGGGCTTTTGTTTGTTTTATGGAGATGCTGTTAGTTTCACTTTGTCTACAAACCCTAATGACAAATCCCATTTCAGATTTCAATGATTCACCAGATAAGCAATGAGCTCTTCAGGGCCTTTGGCTGTTTAAGAAATGTTTCAGTAAAATCCACATCTATGAAATGCAGATATCCCAGTTGGACTGTGAGTTTACTAACCATTTTTGCTTTGATTGATTTTTTGCAGTTTGCACACATGCCAGTTCAGTCTTTGGGTGTACAGTTCCGCCACGGTTCTAACCCAATGTGCAGAGTCTCATGGCCACCGCTCTAGCCCCTCCTGGAGCGATTCCTTCATCCAAGTCTCCAGAGTGGCCCCTATGCAGTCAGCCTCCCCCATTCCATCAGCCCCTGGTCACCCAGACCGGTTCTCAGTCCCTCTGGTTTGACCTTTTCCAGAATGGCCTACGAATGAGAATCATACAGTGGTAGCTTTTCGGGTCTGGCTTCTTTGTCTTAGCAAAATGCATCTAGGATCCACCCACGTTCGTGCGTGCATCACTGGCTCCTTCCCTTTTCTCACCGAGCCTTCTGTTTGAAGAGAGAACCAGCCTTCCTCGCCCCATTCCCATGCTGAAGATTGTCCCTGAAGGCTCTGTGTGTGAGTGATGATGAATGAAGCAGTGAATGTGGCATGCAGGTTTCATGTGGACGTCAGTTTCCAAGTCATTGGGTTCAGTATCTGTGACACTTTGGGGACATTTGTTTCATGTGCATTGAGCTTTGTGAGCCACTGCCCAACTGGCTGCCAAAGTGGCTGTGCCATGTCATGTTCCCAGCAGACCTGGATGAGAGTTTCCAACATTCTGAATGCCCCCAGCATTTGGTGCTGTCAGTGCTGCCTGGGGAGGCTCACGGGCCCTCCATCCTGCCGCCCTCCCGTGGGTGCTACCAGGGGTCCCCGTGGGTCAGGGAGAACACTTTTCACCATTGTGCATGGTTTTGTTTGCTGCCCTCTGTCTCCTCAGGATCCTCCTGGATTCTGGCCCCACATGTTCTAGCCTGGCCCAGGGCTTGGAACCTGGGAGCTGCTCGGTCCATGGTGCTGGCTGCTCCCTGGGCCAGGAGAGCCCTTGGCAGCTCTGTCACCCTCCTGGGTGACCCTGGCTTCTGCTCCGGGGAAGGCTCCATCCCTCTGGTTCACCCCGTCTCCGCTGGGGCCCTGTGGCTCCCGTGGGCTTAGTTGACTCCGTATTGATCCCTGAATAGAAGATGGTTTGTGAGTGTCTTGCTCACGTCCAGGTCAATCTGGCGGATGTGTTGACAGGACCTCTTCCCCTTTTCCTTCATGACCTGTAGGGCAGGGCCAAGGGGAGGAAGCTGCCTCAGAACAGACGGAAGACTCCCTGCCCCAAATGGCAGTCATCCCACAGTCAGCACTTTTGGATGGAAGGAAAGAAGGAAGGTTTCCTTCTGCAGAAAGCTGCTTTTTGGCTTGTTTCCGAAGCCGGGGAGGGTCACCAAAGCCGAGCTCATCTGTGGTGCCTATGTCACCGTCTATGCCCAGGATGTGCATCTGACCAGCACACATGACCCCCCCCAAGTGGGGCTTGATGTTCCTTCCCTCCAACTGGAGACCTGGGCCCCTGACACAGCCTGGCCTGTTTGTTGTGCTCTGGCTTAATGTACCTGGTATTTCCTGGGGTTTTCCCTTTTCATTTCCTGAATGTACAGGACAACTGACCACACCTGGCCCTGGATGTTCATTGGAATCCCTTTATATACTCAGTCTACCAGCAGTGGGCAGAAAATGATCTTTGAGGCAGTCTTGCTCTGTCACCCAGGCCAGAGTGCAGTCGCACAATCTAGGCTCACTGCAATCTCTGCCTCCCGGGTTCAAGCGATTCTCCTGCCTCAGCCTCCAGAGTAGCTGGGATTACAGGCGCCTACCACCATGCCTGGCTAATTTTTGTATTTTTAGTAGAGACGGGGTTTTACCATGTTGGCCAGGCTGGTCTTGAACTCCTGACCTTGTGATCTGCCCACCTTGGCCTCCCAAAGTTGGGATTACAGGTGTGAGCCAGCATGCCCAGCCAGAGTCCAAAGTTTTCTATATAAAATGTAGGTTCTATACTAGAAGGGAAAATGTAAGATTAAAAGTTGACCTTTTTAGAATCATGACTTTATACCAGCCTTCTTCATCTCCTCAAAATCTTTCTCGGGACTAATTTTTGTAGAAATCTGCATATGCCTTCTTTCTTGGTTCAGCCACACCGAACTTATAGAGAGCTGCAACCCCCAGGGATATCAGGAACGCTCCAACCATATGAATTCGCAGATGCCTGGCCAGAAGGCCACGCATCTGAGGTTTTGCCAAAACTTCAGAAGCCATGGTAGTTACTGTCCTTTATACGTACCCCAACCTCAACACCAACGTCCTTCCAGACTGATGGAAAGATGGACGGCTCTCCACCGCACGCAGGAAATAAGAAAGCTGAAAGTGCAAAAAAAAAAGAAGCCCGTGAGCTCCATCTCATCGTGGGGCTTGGGCTAGCTAGGAAAGGGACGCGGGAAGCAGAGAGAGCAGCTGACAGATTGGGAGGAGATGTGAAAAGTTCAAGAGTCTGGACGTCTTAGGTGAGATACATGCATTAAAAAGAAAACAACAATGACAAAAACGAGTCTGGATACCTCGATGAGTTCCTAAGCAGAAATCACAGAGAAAAGGAACTAAAAAAGGAAGCCATGGGCCAGACGTGGAGTTTTACAATTGAAGACTTCTAGTGTGGAGCAGCACAGTTACAGGTGTGGACAAGTGAATGTCTTGGAGTAGAGAGCAGAGAACACTGTTACGTGGAACATGGCCACACCACACCTTGGTGTGATCTCAGGTGTTGGATAGGTTGGCTGTAGATACTTGGTGAATGTGGGAGAAGGGCCTACAGGTCTGTGGATGATAGAAACTGAGAAATAGAACGTAGAATGTCGGCTTGTGAGAGGAAGGGTTTGGAGGAACAGGAGAGCAGTCATTGAGTGTGTGAGGAGCTAGGAGAACTTAGAAGTCTTCCTTCTCCTAGAGCAGTCTCTATTTGAAAAGCCATCAGGGAGGTAGTTTATTCATAAAATAGTTTTACTTGGTAAGATTAGGATGTGATTATAAAAGAAATATTGAGAGAATGTTTTCTAGTAGAAAAAAGGTTCCAGGGGAATGAGAGGAACCTAGAAAGGTTCAACAGTAGTGTCACGAGTTCATAGAAAACAGGAAGCAAGCTGGGTATGCGCGTTTAGAGGTGGTGTGCATTTTCAGCGTTATAAATAGATAGGGATGAGTGGAAATAGTTACCTTGTTCCATAGGTTTTTGGTGTCTTAACTAGTTATGGATCTCTACCACTAAGGGAATTGCCTGTTGAACGCTGTTAGGAAAAAGAGTACTGCAGGCAAACTGCCTGGGTTTGAATTTTATTCTGTTCCTTTCGACCTGCATGGGTTCAAATCCTAGCTCTGCTTATTAAGTTCTTTTAAGTTGATGATCTTTGAACAAATGTCTTAGCTACTGTTTGCCCATGTAAATGGACACAAGAGTTGTTATCTTGTGAAAGAAGTTAATTCATATAATTGACCAGCATTAACCAAGAAGCATCAGTGTACAATTTTAGTCATTGGTAATTGACCAGCTGGACTGTGAGATGGGTGTGTGGGTGTGTGTGTGTGTGTATGTGTGTGTGTGTAGCACTGCAGAAAGGAAAAGACAGTTTTTATAACCTAGAGGCAGCTTTTCTCTGCTTTTGTGTCAAGAGGGGAGAAGGAAGTTTGGAGGATATGAATTCTGTTTAATACTAAGCTCTCTTCCTCTAAGCCAGAGGCAGATAGAATGTGTAATAACATAGAATTTCTCGACTTAATCTGATTTTTAAAAAAATACTTTCATTTTTTCAGGTTGAGGCTGAGCTAAAGTTTATCTGTTAAGCTGGAATGCAGTGGTGCAATGTCGGCTCACTGCAACCTTTGTCTCCTGGGTTCAAGCAAATCTTGTGCCTCAGCCTCCCAAGAAGCTGGGATTATAGGTGTGTGCTACCACAGCTGGCTAATTTTTGTATTTTTAGTAGAGATGGGATTTCACCACGTTGGCTGGGCTGGTCTCTAACTTCTGGCTTCAGGTAATCCACCCTCTTTGGCCTCCCAAAGCTGGGATTACAGGCGTGAGCCACCATGCCCAGACAAGAGTCCAAACTTTTCTATTATAAAATGTAGGTTCTGTCCTAGAAGGGAAAAGGTAAGATTAAAAGTTGACCTTTTTAGAATCATGAATTTTTTCAATGTAGGTTTTCAACTTTTATTTCAGAATGATTGTTTAATGTTTGAAGGATAATGTTGGAAAAAAGAGATGGTCAGGCTATTATAAAAATGCGTTAGCTTTTGCTTTACTTATGTTCTCTTGCTTTTGTGGGGCCTATCCCTTTTTCCTCTCCCTAATTGCCATATATTTCACAGTGCTGTGTCAATGTTTTAAGTAGAAATTTTATTTCATAATTAATAAACTCCCGTGCCATTCCTTGGAACCACTTTCTTGTTTAATTTTAGTCTGTGACCATTCTGCTGATTTTTAGAGGCTCCCCAGTTAATTTCTGTGGGATTTTTACTCATATTTTGAATATAAAATGTCTGAGAAAACAAAACAAAAGTCCTGAGAGCATTTAAAATTATTGAAGTGCACCTGCTAATTGTTACATATATTTTTGTCACATATTTTAGATTATAAAGAACAACTTTAGCTTATTTTCCTTTAAAAATTATTGTTCCTAGTTAAATTATTTTTTTAATTTTGGGTTTGTTTTAAGAAAGGGGACCACCACAGGTATCTGGCAGAATTTGCTGCAGGAAAGGACAGGAAGGAGGCTGCAGAGAACAGCCTCGTGGCTTATGAAGCTGCTGGCGATATTGCAATGGCAGAACTTCCACCAACCCATTCTGTTTGCTTAGGTCTTGCTCTCAATTTTTCCGTATTCTGCTGTGAAATTCTGACTTTCCCTGACTGTCCCTGGAGGTTAGTTGTGGTGAACAACGAAAGCGCTCAATGTGACAGTGAAGGATAACTCTTTGGGCTTTCCCTCTTGTTTCTTGGGACTGCCTTTGTAGGCTTGGCCATGGAGTAATTCTTTTTCCTCTTACTGAAACTGCTTTGGACAGTAGTAAAACGATCTCATTCCACTAGCACAGCAGTCAGGATAATTATTTTGATGTGGGATATTTTTGTTGTTGGTAGATTGAAAAGAAATTTAACGAGTTAAAGTGAGTAGAGGAAGGAAATGAGAGGAATTATAATAGAATGATCTTAATTTTTGTATATTAGTTTTCATTCTTTATGGGCATGTTTTTAATAGTTATTAAAACATGCCAAATATCATTTTGTATTTTCTTTTTCGGCATAAACAAGTCTCAGTCTTACTGATGTGTGCTAAACGGCTCCCCATTTATACTTTGGTTTGTTCCCGGTTTTTGATAATGTAGGTACACATGTAAGGAGTACTTATGCTTTCGGTCCCGAGGGGGCAGGGCTGAGGCCGCGACACCCTCCCTTCACTGTCTGCCCCGCTCTCCCGCTGTCCGCCTGCCCCGCCACCATGATGGAACAGTCCACCCTCCTCGCCAAGGTCTTCCTGGCTGGGGCATCGCCGCCACCTTCTCGAAGACGGCTGTGGCCCCGATTGAGTGGCTCAAGCTGCTGCGGCAGGTCCAGGAAGCAGATCTCCGGCCACAGGCAGTGCAAGGGCGTCGTGGACCGCACGGTCCACATCCCCAGTGGGCTGCCGTCGTGGGAAGTCGGGCACTGAGCGCGTTCCGAGGCCTGGGAGACAGCCTGGCGAAGGTCACAAAGCCCCAGGTGTCCGACGCCTGCACCGGGCTCAGGGTCTCCGCGCAGGGCATCATCGTCTACCACGTGCACCCTACGGCCAAGGGATGCGCCCGACCCCAAGAACACGCACATCCTGGTGAGCTGGATGATCGCAGAGACGGTGGCGGCCGTGGCCGGCGTGGTCTCCTACCCCTTCCACAGGGGGCGGCGGCGGAGCACGGTGAGTGGGGGCGCAAAGGAGCTGACATCATGTACACGGGCACCGTGGACTGTTGGAGGAAGGTCTTCAGAGACGAAGAGAGCGAGGCCTTCTCAAGGGTGCTGGTCCAACGCCCTCCGGGGCATGGGGGGCGCCTTCCTGCTGGTCCTGTGCGAGAAGCCGAAGGTCATCTAAGGGTCAGCCTTCCCCCCACACACCGAGGGAACCAAGAGAACCATGGAGAATCCTCGACCGTGTGGAACATCCACCTTCGAGAAATTCCAGTCGTCTTTTTCCCTGGTGGATCCTGCCTGTAGACAGTCAGGGAAGGCTCTAGAAAAGGGGCGCGTTGTGATCCAACCATCTGCACCGATTCCAGGTCTTGATCACTGCCGGGAGGGAACCACGGCATCATTGCGGGCCGCGGGTCAGGCGCTCCAGTGCTCAGACCTAGAGTCCAGAAGCTTGCAGGACCCAAGTCGTGCTTAAGTATTTATTTAAAACAAAAGAATCACGTTTCCCATTTGTACTTGAATGCAGGCGGCTCTTTTGCACAGCGAGTACTCGCAATTATGTTCTATGTTGGGCATCCTGCTGCGAAACAATAAACAAAGGGCGCAGAGGGAAAAGAAGGAATACTTACATGTACATAACGTTTTACTTCTAAAAAGCTGTGATAAAATACACGTAACATAAAAGTTATCATCATAACCGTTTTGAAGCACACAATTCAGTGG